CCCCTGGACAGAGGGAGGGAGCTCATAGGCCCTGGGAGCCCACCTGACCTTGCATGCACAGTGCTTGGGTCATCGGGACTCCTCCCTCGTGTCCTGGAGACATCCGCCACTGGCCTCTCCGGTGCTCCTGCTGTGATATCACTAATGAGCAGAGCTCCTTGGATAATTGAAGTGACTCCTAAAGACTAATGCAGTGTGTCTGGTCACCTCCAGATGAGACAGTTCTCGTCCCTTAGGGCCAATCACGTTTTAATTTTTTGATTTCATGTAGCTAAAGGAAGCACTGCTGCCTGTGGCTGTGCACCTGGGAGGTGCTAAGTGTTCATTCCATGAGTTCTCGCCTTCTGCCTGGGTGTCCTACACAGGTGATTAGGGAGTCTAATTGAGTCGGCTGTAAAAAGATAATTAATTGACTTTCCCTCTTGGAGAGGTCAAGCTGCCCGGTCTGGTCCCCGGGGCTGGTACAGCCTCCCCTTTCTACTGAGTCACCCCCTCCATGGAAGTGGCATGGTGACCTTTATCTCGCTGATAAAGCCATAATTGCTGTAATTAAAATTTGCATAACGTCTTCAGAAGTAACTCCTGAGAGCTGGGGTCGGGCCTCTGCCCACTGGGAGCTCTACCTCCAAGTCACCTGGCTGTGGAGGTGAGAAGCATCGTCTCAGGGCAGGCGCATCCCCAGAAATGTGCAGGAGACTTGGAGGGCCCCTGGGGGCTACAGCAGGGACCCCACCACCTTATGTGGAGCCCAGAATTTGGTGAACTTGCTGTTTATCAGAGAATGTCTCTCTGAGCTTCCTGACATGGCCATGGTTGCCACTGGGGGAAGGTTTCCTGCCATGTCTCTGCAGCTTCCATTCTCAAAGGTCAGATCTTAGCACCTCTGGGTGGCTCTGGCCACCAGACCTCCAGCCTCTCCTCCCGGAGGTCTGGTCCACAGAGCACCAGAAGGCAGGTGAGGGCAATGACTGGGGTCTACCATGCCAACAACCAGTAAGACAGGCGCCATCCAGGGACCCTGGGAGTTGGGACAGGGATACACACTGTGCTAGGGACAGACCAAAAAGGAGAAAGCAGACTAGCAGCTTGGGTGAAGCAGAGAAACAACCACAGTGCAGAGAGGCAGTGGCTGGGGTCCATGTGGGGTTCCCTGGCCTATCAAGTGGGGACATGCAGAATAGGAGGCTGAGAGGACCCATCATGCCCAGGCACTGAGGGGAAGGCCCCAGCTGGGGCAGTGGGCAGAGGCCACAGGGGCTGAGGGTTGGGATGGGCCATGCCCTGCAGAGCTACAGGCCAGCAGCAGAGAGACATGGTTGGAGGGTATGGCTGTCAGGGCCCCTAGTTGCTGAAATGGGAGAGGACAGAGTCATGCTGATGTCTTGAGTTAGACATCAACATGACTGGAGACAGGAAACAGACTGCAGGGCAGGGTGCAGAGTGCCAGGTGGTACCTGCTGAAGCATCTGAGCTGCAGGCCGTGGTGGCCCAGGCCCCCAGCATGGCAGCCCTGGAGCTGCCCACAGGGAGGGTTTGTGAGAGATTCAGGGCACCCTGTACTGATGGAGGGGCACCTGTGAAAAGGGGACTCTAGCACCTAGCTGGAGGGTGGGGCCTCTCACTGAGGAGGATGAGCTGAAGGAGGGCATCAGGTTTGGGGGCCCAAATTCCAAGTACCAGCACAGTGTGAAGATGTCTGTAGGAAGATGGGTGGGGTGTGTGGCCCCCCAAGGCAGCAGGATTTCGGGGCTGTGTCCACTCCGGGCAGTGAGGTGAGGGCTGTGGACAGGGGAGAGGCCAGCCTGCAGGGGCAGACTGAAAGGGGAGAGGGGCCAGCTGTGGCCAGCGATGCTAGGGGAGGGGAGGTGTCCCAGGCAAGGGCTGTCCTGATGGGAGAGGACAAGAGCAGGTGTGGAGAGGCCGTGCAACAGGTACTCTGAACAGACACAGCTCTGAGTGAATTCCATATCTTACGCACAGTAGGAAGGTAACACTGAGGCTTCTTCCACCAGGCAGGCCTTTCCTGTGTCCTCATTTCTTTCAGGAATTTTGAGTTCATGTGGTATTTCAGGTCCAGCAGACAAGCAGGGGCCTGGCCAGTTGCACTGGGGGTCTCATCTGGGGAGGGAACCCCCTTGCTTCCATGTGAAGGTCTCATCATCCCATCACTGCCCTGTAGAGAACAGACAGAGGTAATCTGGAGGATCTGGAGCCAGAGTGCAGCTAAGGGCCATGTGGGAAACACTGGGGCCCAGGGAGGGTATGGCGGGGCAGGGGACAGTGTCAGTAATTTGGGTACAAATATATCTTGAAAGCAGAACTGATGTCATCCTTGCAGCTGCTGCAGAGATTGTGGAGTAAAGGAAACAATAGTACAGGGGAATGGAGGTTGACCCCCAACTCTGACTGGAGCACCTAGGGGTGGGGTGCAGTCACAGGAAGAGCAGTGGCAAGTTGGAGTTGTGTCAATTCCTCTTTTGGCTTAAGACTTAAATCAGGCTCAGCGCCTATAGCTCAACCGGCTAAGG